TGCGTTGCAAAAGAAGCGAGGGAGCCTAGTCGGAATCCTCGGACGCCTACTGGTTGACGTGGACGAAGAAAATGAGGATGAGGAGCCGAGCCGGGCTCGGTCCGCTGGTGGTGTCCCTTCTAGTAGGATTGAAGAGGTTCGCATCGCTAACCCGGAGCTCGTGCACCGCGGGACCGTGCTGTTGCGGAACATGGCTGTCCACTTTATTCAAAAGAAAAAAGAGGGCTACCAAGATTTGTTGGAGGACCTGATCCGGGAAGGGGTGGTGGGAATGGTAGAGACGGTAGTGAAGGATGCCCTGCAGCGAGGGGCAGAGGGGTACCCTGTTGTGGAGAGTGCGCGCGAGTTTGTGGTCGCCCTGAGGAGCGTGCAAGCATGATGGCAGAGGAGGTATGTACGCTGACATTTCGCGCGTGCAGCAGGACCCATAGCTGAGGAACTCGACAGGCGGCATATCCCTAGACCACGTTTTTCTGGCGATCCCCATCGTATGATTGTGTAAAAATAAAAAATTTGGGGTAAACATTCGTAATTTGACATTTCTCCGAAAGCTCGAAAAAACATCGTATCATGGCTAGCAACCCTAGCCCACCGACCCTCCCCACCACCGTGGAGTCTGTTTTCAGGACCACGCCCGACCTCGAGGCACACATCGAGGCAAACTTCAACAGGCCCGTTCCTCCACGCCCCTTCCGACATGTTTCTTTGCAAAATGGAGATAGCACAAGATACCGAAGGGCTGAGGCTCGAAAAAGGACTGCAGCCCTTGAGCACGCCATAGCCTTGGGTGCCTATTGGAGCGTTGCGAGAATGATTGTGTGCGACGTGTTTGGATGGTTGCCTCGACGGCCCTGCACGGTCCAATAGGAATGCAGCAGATAACCGGAGATGATAAGTGTAGGTTGAGTAGCCGAAAGTCGGCCAAGCCGGAAAAGGCGAGTGGACCCCCTCCACGGGTAATAGATCGTCGCGCATCCGTCCCGGTTCTGCCGGTGGGCATGAAATTGGTGAAAATTTCCCCTCCGCCCACGATCCACGATGCGACCCACGCCATCAGCTCGCGGGTTGATCAAAGAAACAGGCGTTCCTATACGGGGTTCATTGGGCAATAAAGCTACAGGCGGTGAGCGGTCCGACCGCACCGCTGGGAGGATGTGATGGGTGATATGATGGAGGATTTATTTTATGAAGAGCGGGGGGCACGGTAAATCCAAGCGAGTGGATTGCCTGGTTTGGGTTTAGTGGCGTCTCGAGTTGCGGGCCGCTGCCTCCAGAGGGCAAGTAATGTAGATAGATAGCACTGAGAATGCGGACGGCTGCTATCGCGGCAGTTGCAATACTGGAATGGTTTCATTTTGACGGTGGCGTCGTGGAGAGAGTGCAGGCTAGCGAGACAGTAGGCTACCAGTATGGCAGCCTATTACCCAGGTTTGGCATTCATTGGCAAATACCTCTTGTGCTTGTTTTGCATGAAATTCGGGCTTCCATGACGGGTGCGGTATATAGACGTGCCATGCCTGCACAACGTCGTGAAGGGCGAGCGGGCTAGCAGAGCCGAGGATTCCGCGCACTAGTCTCGCTCGTCGTCGGTGGCATCACGGACAATTAGACAGTGGATATACTGTGGTTATATTGCGCATTTTGCGTGGAACGCGGAAACCATGGAGCATCCATTATCTGCTACTGCTCTCCGCGTAACCTCGGTAATGCGGGGTAAGAGGCTAGCAGCAAAAATGGGAGAATCAAACAATCGAGCATGATTAGGATAATCGCCGCAAATGGACAGTGAGCCGATGAACAACAAGGGCGATTGATATGGACAGTCATAATCGTCGCTGCTCCGCTCGCCTCTTACTAGACCTGCTATAAAAAATCAGCAGATAATCAGCAAAATCACGCAAAAATGGACGAGTTAGTCGGTCATCTAAACGGAAACGAGGCGACGCAATAGAGACGGCTACAATTTCGGAAAAGGTAGGGCGAGCATTCAATCTCGCTGAAACCACGGACAGCAGCCCAAAACACGCTGCTCGCCCATTCATCGCCCATTTATCTATCCCACTCTTGCACCCGCCCTCGCACCTCACTTCTTGTCTCCCCCTCTCTCCCGCTACCTCTCCTACTGCTCCTGCAACCATGAGCACCAGCAACCTCA